GACTGGTCTCAAACTCCTGGCTTCAAGCAATCCATCAGCCTCGGCCTCCCAAAGTGCAAGAATTACAGGTGTGAGCCACTGCGCCCAGCCAAGGGTAACATACTTTTTCAACTGAGTTGCTCTATCAGCCTGTTTCCTGCCTGTAGAATCCCATAAGTCCAAAAGCTTTCTTTCACTTCATCCCATCTCTGTCCTGTTTAGTCCAAGCTACAGCTGTTAGTCATATAACATTCTCAAAACCCTTAATAGTCTTCTGTGGACATCATGTATAACATTCTCAAAACCCTTAACAGTCTTCTGTGGACATCATGGGGATCACGCCATTAGACAAAAAGTTTCTCCACACATTTCTTCTGGATAACCTATTCCTGGCCTTTGCTGACATGGCTGATTGAATGCATAAGTCATATGCCTAATCTCTTCAGCAAAAGAGTGTCCAACTAGACCCCGACTTGAGTTTCTCTTCTAGAACTTGCTTTCTCATATTATTGCAATGTGACTAGGCTGAGAATTTTCTAAATCATCTGGTTCTGGTTTGTTTTTTGCTCAACAGTTTCTTTCTCTATTTCTTTCCTTTCACATTTTATTATAGGCTTCTAGGAGAAACCAGGCCATACTCTGCTTAGGAACCTCAGTTAAATATCCAAGTTTATTGCTCACAGGTTCTGCTCTCCACCCAACAACAGGCTACAATTCAGCCAAGTTTATTCTACTTTCTAACAAGGATTGCCTTTCCTCCAGTTTTCAGTAGCATGTCCCTCATTTCCATCTGAGGCCTCACCAAAGCATCTTTAATGTTCATATTTCTAGCAACATTCTGTTCATGACAATAGGTATTCTCTAAAACAACAGAAATTTCCCTATAATCCTCCCTCTTTACTTGTTTCTGAGATCCCATCAGAATTGCCTTCAATATCCATATCTCTGTTACCGAAAAGGGGTCCTGATCCAGACCCCAAGAGAAGGTTCTTGGATCTCATGCAAGAAAGAATTTGAGGCAAATCCATAGGATAAAGTGAAAGCAAGTTTATTAAGAAAGTAAAGGAATAAAGAATGGCTACTTCATTGGCAGAGCAGCCCAGAGAACTGTTGGTTGGCTATTTTTATGGTTATATCTTGATTATATGCTAAACAATGTGTGGATTCCTCATGAGTTTTCTGGGAAAGGGGTGGGCAATTCCTGGAACTGGGAGTTCCTTCCCCTTTTAGGCGTATAGGGTAACTTCCTGATGTTGTCATGGTGTCTGTTAATTGTCATGGCACTGGTGAGGGTGTCTTTTAGCATGCTAATATAGTATAATTAGCATATAATGAGCAGTGAGGACAACCAGAGGTCAGTTTTGTCACCATCTTGGTTTTGGTGGGTTTTGGTCAGCTTCTTTACTGGAAGCTGTTTCATCAGCAAGGCCTTTGTCACCTGTATCTTGTGCCAACCTCCCTATCTCATTCTGTGACTTAGAATATCTAACCTCCTGGGAATGCAGCCCAGTAGGTCTCAGCCTCATTTTACCCAGCCCCTATTAAAGATGGCGTTGCTCTGGTTCAAACACTTCTGACATTTCTGTTAGAATCTCTTCAAAGCAATCTAAGATTTTTCTATCATGCACCTAAAAACTCTTCCAGCCTCTATCCATTATTCAGTTCCAAAGCCACTTCCATATTTTTATTTATTTATTTATTTTTTTACACAATAGCACCCTACTTCTTTGTACTAAAATCTCTATCAGCGAGGGCTCTCAAGAGAAACAAAACCAATAGAACTTACACACACATACACATACATATATGTACACATATATGTGTTCTTTATATGAGTGTATATATTAATGAATATGCATATATGATTTATTTTAAGAAATTGGTTCGTATGGTTGGGGCCTGATACATCTGAAATTTGTAGGGCAAATCAGCAGGCTGGAAGCTTAGTCAGGATTTTTATGTTGCAGTTTTGAGGTCAAATTTCTTCTTCCGTGGCAAACCTGTTTTTGCTCTCAGGACTTCCAATTGATTCAGTGAGGCCTACCCACATTATTGAGGATAATCTCTTATTTAATGTGAGCTTATTTTAGATGTTAAACACGTCTACAAAATGCCTTCACAGCAGCACCTAGATTAGTGTTTGACTAAATAACTGGGTATTATGGCCTACCCAAGTTGACACATAAAACTGCACGTTACAGGTGCTTGTCCCTATTTCTTCTCCATTTCCAGATTATTTCTCCTAAATTGCAGAAAGCAGAGCTATACATAGCTATCCAAGTCTAACTTCATGAAGAATAGAATAAAGTTTCTTTTCATTTTAAATATACATCATACTTTGTCAGATTTTTTTCAGTTGCAGCTCTTCGTTGGACTGGTATTAGTATTGGCTTTATTAATCTCTCATTCTCTTACTTATTCATTCCACAAACATTTGCAGAAGGCCACCACGCTCTAGGGGGAGGAAAATGGTTTTATAAATTAGTGCTTTCTGGGATAAAGGAAGTTTATAATCTGCACTACTTAATAATAGCCACTAGCCACATGTGGTTATCGAACACTAGGAGTATACTTAGTATGACTGCGGAAGTAGATTTTTATTTTCATTTAATTATAATTAATTTAGATTTACATTTAAATGTCTAAATGACACTACTGTATTGGGAAATATAATTTCCTGTATGCAATTGTGGTGCAAAACTCATTGTGGTTTTTATCATTAAAAGTGATGGCAGAAACCACAATTATGTTTGCACCAACCTAATAAATTACTGAGTTTCTTTTACTAAGACACAGGGATAAATTAGATTTTGATTATTGTTTCAGAGATTGTTAGAGTAAGAAGGAACTTCGAGCAAGAGAAGATTTTAGAGATGTTTTTCCTTTGTGGATGAGGACTCAGAGGTCAAATGAACTGCTGAGGATTAGAGCTTGTTGGCAGTGGTGCAGGACCCAGAACTTGGATTGGCTGCCTGTCAATTCAGTGTTTATTTCCCTACCCTGTTCTATGTCCCCATCTAATTAGACCATTTGATTTTCCACCTGGAATCCCTAGCCCACTTTGACTCTAATTAACAAATGCCTCTAAAAATAGAACTCAGCTTTGCACATGGTTTCAGAATGATTGCATCTTGCCTGCTCCATGGCAGAATGATCTGGCATTTTCTTTCAGTAGCTGGTTGGCTTATGACACACCTATCACCTCTGCAGTGATGCCAAAGGGATGTTATCTCTGCCTGACCCCCATATGCTTTATTGGGGAAGGAAAACCATTCTGTCTGCGTAGCACTGAGTCATCAGTATTTTCTTTGGAGAAAAATGTCACTTGGCCCACATGATGCAATTTTTGCCGTAGCACCTTTCTCGATAAATCTCTAACTGACAAAAACAGAGTGAGAAGAGCATCATAAGAGTTTCTCACAGGACCATTGATCTATTTTCTTATACTAGTGAACTTCCTTTGTTCATTTCCAATGTGTAAAATAGACGCATTTATATTGACAGCGTGCCTTTGTCAGGATACTGTTCTTACTGAAATAAGCTTGAAAATATTTTGCACTATACCAATAACAGGATGTCATATTGACTCTGCGTTTAATATAATATCAGAGTATTAAATATAGCCCATGAAGCACTCAAAGTTTGCTTCTGCTCTTTTTAGATAAAGGAAAATTTAAAAATAATGGCAATCAGTTGCTGCATAAAATGGACCTGTGCCTTGCAATGGGCATTGGATTTGAGGAGCAGATGGAAAGCGTCTCTGAGATGAGAAAGATTAAATAATATAATTTTAAACATGCTTTGCCAACAACAGATTTTCTGTCACACTGATCAATTATTGAAGATGAAATTCTTATACCAGCTAGAAATGAGGATTGTTATTTAAGGGAAGGAGACGATACTATCTCTTGGTGAAGAGCTTATTATTTGGGGCCAGACATCCAATCTACTACCTGTGATTGCCAACATGATCCAAGTTCTATCATTCCTATGAGAGGTGAGTCATCCACCCATTGCTGTAAGAGAACCAAATTTAGATTGGATATTTGAGCCAAAAACACAACTCCCCCAGATCTCTCAGGTAAAAAACAGTAATAACTAACACTGAAAAATCTATGGGATAAAGGTCAGCCATTATAAAATCAACCACAATATAAAGACAATAACCACAAATAATTGTGGTTATTTGTATAACCACAATATAAAGACAATAAAATAATTTGGGTAATTATTTTATTTTTATGGCAAAGTATTGTAAATTATAATAAATATAGCAAAACTGAATCAATCCAAATGGCCTCTCTTTCATTCTAATCACCTTTATCATTCTGTTATAAACCAGCTTGTTCTGCAATATATAATTAGTGAAGTATAAGGTCCCCAATTTTTTAGGGAAAGCATTCTAGGCAAGTTTATTGTTTAATATTTATCAGTATCATTTGATACTTGTACAATATTTTATTTCTATGAGTAAATTACATTTTTCCTTTGACCAACCTTGGGGCACTACTAGGGGTAGTTAAAACGTGTAAGATAATTATCAGCAGGATAAATACAATATCAAACTCTTCCTAACAATATTTGATGTTCAGTAGTTTTATTCAGTTAAATGGGAGTTTTGCCTGCACAAGGACTGCTGGTTGGGAAGTCTATAGAAGCAGCCAATATTTAAGTGGATAGATTAAAAATCAAATACCCCTACATGACAAGAATAAGCAGAATGGTGTTTAGAGTGATATGTACCAATGGCCATAATATTTCTCATATGCTAAATGCAGACTTTTCTAATTTTATTTGTACAGAACCTCTTTCCAGAAATGGCTCCAAAATGTGACTTACTAGTGCTGGTTTAGCAGGTGAGGAGATGCCTCCAATGCTCAACCCAAACTAATGAATGGAAAACAATCTTTTCCCTCTCACTGTCTCAGATTCTTACAACCATCCTAAAAAAAGATGAGGAAACCGTCATTACACCTTGTTCACAGATGTTGAAACCAAGGCATATAGCCTGCTTCACTCACATAGCTTCTTAGTGACAGATAGAGGACTTCACATGTTGCTGGGAATCCTTGGGGTTGAATGAAGAAGCCTGGAGCTCTAGTCTTAATGACTCCACTCTACAAAGAAAATAAACCAATATTCACAACACAGAGCAGCATTTCAGAGTTGAGCAACACAGGATCTAAAATGTTCTTATCTATTCCACAGTCGAATTGTTATCGAGGTCCTAACTGTATGATCTTGTTCTAGAAGCTGTTGGCTATTTGAGGATTTAACAAATTCACATTTCAGTTTTCCGTGTCACCCTTTTATTGGAATACTTTCCTTCCTTTGTGCTAATTTTGCTCTCTGGCAGGCTTTTCACATGAGGTGGCGTCCCAGGGCTCTAACCTTCCTTCTCCTAACCTGGAAACCCCACAGAAAAAGAAGGTGTCTTGACTGATGGTTCCAGTAAAAGTCACGAGGCTGAGTTTTACTGGATTGATCTGCATCATATACCCATAACTGGACCAATCACAGTGGCCAGAGGGATTGGACACAAGGATTGGCCAGGCCTGTGTCATGCACCTAGCCTTGAAGGCAACACGTGTTGGGACAGCCCCATGTAAAAGTCATTATAATGGGGTAGGCATTATTCTTTGAAGAAAAGGAGGATGTTGTCACCAGAAAAGGAGGAAATAGTGATGGGCAGGCAACAGCTGTCCTCCAGAGAAAAGTTAGACTGATTTCCATTTTATAAATGAAAACGTTGAGGCTCAGTATGGTTAAGTGGCTTGAATACGAAAGGGAAAAAGATAAACAGTAGGAACAAAGTTCTTAACTTCTAGCCCTTGAGAAAATCTTCCCAGACATCCATCACATCTCTGAGGTCAGGAAGAAGTGTTCCAGTCACCTTTTAAATCCATCCACTGCCAATAGGAAGAAAACAAGACAAGAAACTAACCAGATTTTATAAATTCTTAAGAGCCCTGCGTATATTTTGGCTGGAAAGTTGTTTGTTCACTCGTATTTAATGAATGGCCCCTTATCTGACAATGCTGAAACACCCATTTAAACTGCAACATCTGTATTTACGTCTGTTGAAGACATGTTGTTATTAAGTTGAAAAATAGCTATCTCAACAGACTCGTAGGCTTTTCAACTTTGTCTCCTAAGGTAAAAACTCTCTAACAAAGAGCCTTAGTGCTGTTAAGGACAAATGCTGAGAATTCAAAGAAGACATTCGTTTGAGGGGATGATCTGAGAGGAATTACCACCCTGGATACCAGTGAGGAAATGGCTGGCTTCACAGAAGAGCTGGCTCAGCATTTATAATGATTAAGGTGCTTAGAATTACGCTTTCTTTATTGACTTTTCCAAGCCCTCTCTGTTTTGAAAAACTAAACTGAAGTGCAAAGCATTTTGTTAACTTAATGAAGGATTTCTGACTTGTTTATATCTTCATTACACCTTGTAAGATAGATACACCTGGAAAGAGTATTAGAATAAAACCATGTTGATTCAAAAAAACCCTCCATGAGATGACAGAAGCTGTGGCTGCTATTGATGTTTGGCGTGGGCTCCAGAGAGAGGTATTGAGGCTTCTTCAAATTCTTTCCACTTCTCTGAATTTTATAGACTCAGCAACATTACTTAAAAAAAAAAAAAAAAAAAACCCATCAAATAGTTTAAGTGGTAGTCTTACATCGTGCTTTCTGTGACTTTGTCATTCTGATCGACAGAGCTGAGGACTTCTTTCCAGCCCTGTGTGTGTAAGTCCCAAGAAGATAAAAAGAGCCAAAGAAATGGCATAAGGTCACCATGTGTCATGATGTCCTGAGTAGGGAGTGGTGGCCCAGAGAAGTGGAAGGGCAAGATGTCCTCCCAGGGGCAGCCGTCACACTTGTAGAGCAGGACTGTGAAATGCTGAGAGCAAAGGATCTGCAGGAGCTGGCTGGATGCCAGGGCATGCAGGGGCACATGACGAAGCTTCTCCTTTTAGGGGGATAAAGTGTCCTGAGCCCCAGAGTCTCTGAGAGGCTTGAGGAATGGGCTGAGAAGGGTCCATCCTCGGCAGAGCCAGAAGTAAGTGACAGCGGGAACTGGTGTGGTATATATGTATGTGTATATACAAATTCATGTCCATATCTGTTATTTTGCTTGATTTATAAGAAATAATCCTAATCATAATGCTGTATGTATATTGACTCATTAAATCCTCACAATAGCCCCGAGAGATGAGATAGGCAAATGAGGAAGCCATCTTCTTTCTTGCTTTACAGAGGAGGACACCAAAGATAGAGGCCGTCAGGTGATTAGCCTTAAAACAGGCAAGCATTAATTGTAGGCAAGTCCATGAAAAGGTAGCCGGGCAACACGTCATATGATTAATGGCTTAGAATCTGAAATCAGACAGACTTTTATACCTGGCTCTTCCATAACTGTCATGTTCCCTTAGGAAAGCTACCTAACTTTGAGCCTCAGGTGTCTCAGCTACAAATGAAATTGTGATAAAACACATCTTTGTAGGTGTTTGTAATAATAAAATTAGAAAAAATAGTTAACACAGCAGAAATCCTGGCACAAGCTAAATATTTAATAAACATTGGTAGCTATTTTTATTGTTTTCTGGCATGTTCCCAAGACAGGATCCAGATATAAGAAAAAATAAGGAGCTAGTTGTCAAAAATGGTGTTCAGGTCAGGAACTGGGTTTTGGAAGCAGGGAAAAACCTAGTTATCAGAATTCAAACAAAAAGTAAGATCAGACTTTAGCAGTAGACCACTCTTACTTGCCTACTCACCATCCCTTCTTCCTTCTTTTAGTTAGTAACAGCACCCTACCTTTCCTTTGGGTCACTCTGTTTTCCAAATTATTGGTTGTTGCGCTTCAATGGGGCTCCACTTTCCAGACCATGATGGAGTACCCGACCCAGCCTGGCTGCCTAGAACACCATGTTCTCTGGCTGTGATGTTGGTTTAACTTTGGACATGTGGACTAAACTAATTAGAGTGCATTATGCACTATTTTTTCAAACTAGTGGTAAAGAGGCACTGTCTTTCCACTGGGGCTACAAAGCTACTACAATATAGGTCTGAGGGGCTGGAGGCCATCTTGCTGCCCTGAAGGGAGCACCTTTTTGATGCCGTGAAGTCAACCTGGAGGAATGCAGAGTTGAGAGATAGAGGGAAACTAAGTCCCCGATTACATGGTTTGAGGTAACTGCATAAAACCAGCTCTGCTCCTGGTTGAGGCATTTTTTTTCTTTCTCTTTATAATTGGAGAGTTTTTTATCCTCAATTTCAAAATGTCCTTCTTGTTTAATATCTGGAAATGTCTAGAAAACATGGCCCATCTGTGCCTCAGGTGGGGGCCAAGGTACCCCAAGTCATCTAAGAAGAAGGCTGCAGGGACTCAGAGACAAGCAGCAGCATCTGGACTGTGTGTCCCTCTGTATAAAAGAGGAGTGACATTTCTTCCCTCTCTATTTCAGTTATCGTTTTCTGTCCTCCAACTCCATTTCTTGAAAAATTTTAACTGCTACTGGGAGTTTGTGAAGATACCACTTCATGGGTTCATTGATAAATGACAGGTGATATTTGCTTTCCTGAGATAGGTTCAATGTGCCGGAGTGTCTTGTGCTCCAGACCTTGAAAGATGAGATTCCTGGAAAATGGCTTAATGTGGGTTATATTGTTCTAACCCACCAACCATTCAGAGAATTTTAATTAAGCTCTGTTGTATTCATCCCTTACTCTTAATAAAGCCCTTTATTTCATAACTCAGTTCAGAATAGTTAAATATTTTGCTTGAAGTACAGCCCCCGCCAATTCACCACACAGGAGGGGTGTACAGTTAAAGGAATTGGTGTAAATGAAAAACCCCTTGAGACTCAGTTGAGTGTCAAGGTCTGAGCTGGGAGGCAGAAAGCCCTGGCTCTAATTTCACCTCTGCCAGAGAGAGACTGGGACAACTCAGCCTTCTTTTCCCAGAGCAAAAATAAGGATGCTGAAATTGGTTTACTTCGTTGAGCACTGGCAGGAAGTATTAGGAAGACAATGTCTTCAAACTATAAAAAATACTTGGAAAAAGTCATCATATTACGTGTAGGGTCATGAAGATTCTCTGATGGAGGCAATTGCATAAGAAAAATGTGTTATTACGGACTCAATAGCTTGCCCAGGGGAAACGCTGGTGTATCCCAAGGACTCTTCTGCTCTGCAAATTATTTGTTCTTCCTTCCAGCGTGATTACATGCTGTTTTACGGAGTCAGCACTTTCTTTGTTTCATTGACCATTGATTACTTCATTAACTCACTACTTATCTCCTGAGTGTTTTACTATTTGCTCAGCACTACAGATAGAAAAAATGGGTCAAGCATGACTGTTCTTTTATTCAGTCAACATCTATTTATTGAGCACCTACTATGTGCCAAGCAGTACAGATGTAAAGATGGTAGCCATAGTCACTGCCTTCTATAATCTTGCTACTCAAATTGTGGTCAGGGGACCAGGAACATTGTTAGAGAAATAGGAGTTTGTTAGAGAAATACAGACAAATGGAATCAGCTTTTAACCAGGATACTAACAAGATCCCTAGGCAATTTGTATGCACATGAAGGTTTGAGAAGCAGAACTCTAAGAAGACTTATGTCATGGTGAGTTTAGTGGGAAAGTAACGAACTAGTGGTTTAGAAAACTAACCGATACTGGTTGCCAGCTTTCTGCTCTGATGCTTGTAACAGAATGGAAGCAAGTCATTTTTCTATGTTATAACTCAATGTATTATCTTCAAAATAGAAATAATATTATCTACCCTTCCTCCCTCGTGTATTATTATGAAGATGAGATAAGAAAATAGTTGTGAAAGTTTAAGTGTTATCCAAAGCAAGGTATTGCTATTATAACATTTAAAGTTTGGAGAAGCTTCTGTATACTAAGCCTGGCTGCATTGCCAAGGAACTGGAATTTTATTCAGATTTAACAATTGCCTGCATTGTGATTCTGTTAAGGCATTCTTATCTCTACCATTCAGAGATGTGAGTAACAGGCTTGCGAAGGCGCCAGCAGGCAGAGAGGTTCTAGTGCTTGTTAGCTGTAGTTATACGGAAGTTGTTATGCTAGACATTTTATGTAT